CACCAAAATCAGAGAGAAGGCAAGAAGAGCAATTGCAGGAGGATTTAAAAAAAAGAAAAACACATTGTGGTAACGGTAACACGTATTAGCACGAATTGTCAAATCCCAAAATGCATGAACACATTTAATTGTTAACAATTAAATTAATAACAACAGAACATCGTAGTGCCTGATTAAACTTAAACTGGGAATTTTAGAACGATGATTTTTTTTTAAAAAAAGCTGTTGTCATCCCTTGGCATGGCTGTCAAAGGGCCTTGTTGTTGACTGTTTTACAAGTCCAGCATGAGAAGTAATTAGAACCGATATTTCCAGTCTGGTATCCAGATACTTTTGTCAGCCTGTACTGATAAATATCGACCCACTTCCGTGGCAACGCGCGTTGTGTGTCTGATGTTGCTAGGCAGGGAGTTCCCTTGTATTTACATTCGGTTTCTTCAGACCCAAACCACAAATATTCTAATTGCGCCTACAATGAACAAAACATCTTGTTTTTGACAAACTCGCAGTTCTGGTTAAAGGGTAATTCAGGTGCAGTCCGTTGATTTAATATGTACAGTGTATATAAGGATCCATATTCCCGTTTTCCCCAAAAGCCTTAGATTCCTGTCTGAGAAACAAACCCAAAGTTTCCAAGAAAAAAAAACTCTCGGAAACTTCGAGAACACAACGAGACATCGATACACTTCTCCATTTATTTCTTTTTCTAATGTTTCCTCCCCAGAATCCCCAATGTTGATGAACAGTTTTACCCAACACAAGAAGTTTAAATTAATATTATGTCTTCACCCAATTAACATGCGTTAATAAGGCACTTTTTAATTTAGAGGTCTGAGCTGTCACCACCACACAGCACGCAACATTTTTTGTCATCCATCAAAACAGACGAAAGCAGACTGCACAGTTTTTTAACCGGCCACAGACAAAACCTTACGCTATTTCTTTCATATTGTACAACACTGTAAGTACTATATACTGTAGTTCAACGTTTTTGCTGATCCTTTCCCGTAAGATATTGTTTCACTAAAGTCTAAATTGGGTTTTAATGATTTCTTTTCGTAGTTTCGGCCAAGAAACCTGTACTGTCTATGTCATTGTGATATCCAAAATATTACATTGCCGAAGACAGTTCAAGGAAGGTTCTAGGCCAAAACAAACATCTTGCAGGTCGTTTTGTTCCGGTCAGTACTGAGGGAGGGGAAGTTCATGCCTGTCCTTGTAGTGTGGGGCGTGGTGGCTAACTGGCTTGTCTCCCAGACAGCGGAGAAAGAGAGCTGCGCCTCCGGTCTGTCTGGAGTCCCCAGCTCTGCTCCTGAAAAGCTTTACTTTGTCAATACAAGTAGTTTTTTTTTCTGCCCCTATCAATTCTCACTGTTTACAGCTCCGATAAAACATGCGGATCAGGATCTCTCCAAGGGTGCATAAAATGGTAATATTATCAACTTCTAGTAGGTTTTGAGCGTTCACTTGTATAACGACGTCTTACTTCAACCTTTAAAGTATACGCATATTAAAAATAACATTTTTTTCGTGTTGTGCGAGTACTTGTTTCGTGTTTTACACACTGTTTAAATGATTGTAATGTTCTTCAGAACCTCTAGGGCAATTTAAACCATTTGTACTACAAGAAAAGTTATTTTTCGTCGGCTAACGCTTTGTAAACAGCACACGCATTGATATTGAACTACGGTGTTTTGTAGTTTTGAAAGATGACAACATTTGTCAACATTTTGATGTAAACACCAATAAACAGTTGGTAATATGTTTGGATACGTGTCACATTGATGTTTTATTCTATTCAGAATAGAAACTACTTAATTACTTTTTTGACAATAGTATTGTAACGCAACGGGTGTTCAGGTGGGTGCCCTTGCCGCATTTGGTCGGCCCTGTACCGTCGGGGGCTCGAACCCGGGACACCCGCGTCATTCAGCAGGGACCCAGCCCGGTGAGCCAAAGAAAGATTTCTCTACAGCCCAGTAGCTGTAGTCCTGCTATCACAGGGAAGGGCGGCGACGTCACCGCTCTTACACACCCTGATGGCCGTATGCGTTACAGTATTATCCTCTCCCAGTCCGTACCGCAAAGGTTACAATTTATGTCTGTTGCTAGTGCAAAGTGAATAAAAAAAGAGTATCAGAACTGGCAAGACAGTATAAACATCCTAATTATCCGAAACCAATGGATTGACTGCGATAAAACACCCCAGAGATCACAAGAGGTATAATAAAAACCTCAGTCAGCAACATGTGAAAATGCACGTGAAACTCTTTAAGGTCTATAAAGTTCAGATTTAGCCACTACCTGTGAATACAATAATCACCACGGACCCGAACTACACTACACAGCGCGTTATTCTCAGTCGCTAAAGAAATAAATCAATACTTTCGAAAATGTACATTGTAACATTTGTAGAGGGGTGTAATTTGACCTCTAATTTTTATCAGGGAGCTGAAAACTGCTGAAGATTAGGTGTGTCAGTTTTCCCAACTTATTATCTTCAAATGTTTTGTTTTCAAACAGTTTTCACAGCGCCTCCCTCTCTGTGGGCGGTCACGGGCCTCCCTGTGCGTGGTTACTAAGGGAGTGTTTAAAAACTCAGCAACAAACAGGCCGGAATGTATGACTAACTGCACGGTTTATAATGTGGCGGTGGCGAGGCTTGCCAGGTGTGGTCTGCGCAATGTCGCGGTACAGCTGGTCTCGTTACAAGAGAAACAGGGGTCGCTGTTTTTATTCCTCGTGTATTCCCTATTTTACGTAATATTAAAATACAAAAAGGTGCTGTATGACATCATCACCCTGAAGATTTTTCTTCCTTTTGTTACTTTCCCGGTCGTAATTAATCAGTCGTTACTTTCTTGAATATTTCTTCTGCAGTTTTTGTGCTTGTTGTGAATTTTCTGCAGCAGTATACGGTATTAGTTTAAGATGCTTCCTATCTCATGCGGATGAGCAACGCTTGTGATCAGTCCCAAGGTCTCCATATGATCTTCCACCTCATGCCCCATGGATATCAGTGCAGTCAACCCACGTATTTTTAAGTTGTGCAAAGCACAGCTGTTCTGACTGGGCTCTTAGAAAGGCCCCAGTGAATCAGAACACAGATATCGTTCTGGCTGAGTTCTGCATTGTGGCTTGTGCAGACCAGCTGGTTGGAGTCACATTCACAAGCAGCAGCCTGAGCAATTTGGTGCCAGGCGTGATATGAATGCATAAAGGCAAAGCCCACACCTTAAGTCATACATTCCCACAGTGGTGTGTGGTAAAGATATCCCTAAATAACCTGATAGCTATTTAACTTCAGATCAATAAGTTAAACATTGAGCATGACTTTTATTTTTTAACTTAGTTAAAAGATAAAGTGTTTTTAAAGAAGGATACAGTATGTTGCTTTTTGGAGTCAGGAAACTTGCTATGTTCAGTGCAAGTGTCAGTTTTACCCATTTTTACAGAAGGAGAATCTCAGATACAATAGCAAGTGGAAATAATGAGCTGTAATATGATGTTGTGATACATACAGTATGCCTTGACATTACTGGCTATGATCAAGTTCTGGTGGTGGCACAGTAGCACAGCAGTGAAGCCCTCGGTTTGATTCCTAGGATTCTATCTGTGTGGAGTTTGTATGTTCTCTCCATGTTCATGTGGGTTTCCTCCCATGGCCCACAAACATACTGAGAGGTTAACTGGGCTTCTGGGAAAATTGGGCCTGGTGTGAATGTGTATGTGTGTCTGTATCTGAGTGTCTGCCCTGTGATGGACTGGCATCCTGTCCAGTGTGTATCCTGCCTTCTGGCCATTATTTGCTGGGATAGGCTCTGGCTCCCCATGAACCCTGGTATTGGATAAAGAGGTTGGAAAATGGAAGGATATAGCTCAGGTCAGAAGTAATAGTAAAGTCTTAAAAAGAGGTATTTGTTTTTAAAATGACATGGAACTCCTTACATTCTAGAATTCCCTTCACAGCATTTTTGTCATAGTCTAACACTCTCCTAATACAGATTGAGATAAAGTGATGGTTTAGTGCAGTATTGTTCAGTAAAAGATAATGACCATATTTTTTACATGAAACCACTCTTACCATAAAACTCTTATGAGTCATGCTATGTGTGCTGTTACGCTATATTTTAGTTTGGTTGTGTCCCATACTTTTTTCTTGAGTTGATGCATTTTAGTAGGTCCATTCAGAAGCTTCAGTACGTGTGACAACATCAATCTCAGTGTATTAGCTAAGCTAGATCATTTCCTAAATTAAACCTAACAGTGCAGTACCAAATCAGCTCCAGATCAAACTAAAGCAGATCTTGACTGCAGTGAACCCGGTCAGCACCTGCTCAAACTGAGCTCTGACATCATCCTCTTGGCATTTGAACAATTTGAATTATGAGGAGTATATTATACTACATGTTTTTGCAATGAGCACTTCCGGACCTTGATAAACCTGTGTGGATATGCTGAATTGATTAATTAAGCACCTTCAAACTGCTCCATGTCATTCTCAGCCTTTGTGGTTTCAAATGGCTTCTACAGTGCTGAACAACACAAGTGTTTGCTGGTACAAAAATAAACAATTTAATGAGGCATGAAATTAGGAGACACGGGCACAAGGCTGGTTTGAAGTGATCTTTGTTTTTGTTTTTTCCTCGAATATTCATGAAGTGTTCTGAAAACTAATGGCAATATTGGTCATTCTTGGCCTTCACAAAACACCCGAAGGAACAAACATACACTAGATGTTTTGGAAAGGTTTGGGGAGCGCGTGAGTCTCCGGGAATTGGAAACAGATTTCCAGGGGATACTGGTCTGGATACGAGAAATGGGCGAACCTGTATAGGATGAAGCGGGTAGGAAATGGATGATTTTTCTCTTATGGGGCGGGTATCCAGAGCAACGCTCAGAGCAACGGGTTTTGCCGAAAGCGCCCGTCTCAAAGACGCACGGGACTTTGGCGCTGTAATATTAAAATCCATATAATAATAACAACAACAACGTAGGCATATTTTAAAAATACATTTTTATTACAAAATTATATTTAGCTAATACAAATATTGCTGCACACACCTTTAACAAAATAAATTACGATACCTATATACAGTAACTTAAATTACATACTTGTCAAACAATGCTTCATCTATAAAACAAGAAGATGACACAAAGAGGAGGACAAGACCACACAAACCAGTCTCACAGCTTTCACGTTTAAATTTTCTCCTCAACGTCATCCTTGCACATTCCACAGTTTAGACTAAAGGTCGGCGTTGACGTCATGTTACTTTTGCGGCTGGCTTTCCCCGTATGTCTGAATAAACATAGCGTACATTTCAGCACACAATAAGCAGTCTTGCCCACGGGAGACATAAATACCACTGGGTTTCAGTGGCTTCTACTTGACTAGTGCACACAGATACCTTCTCAAACTTGCCATTTGAAGTATAAGCAATGTGCACGTACATCATGAACTCTTGCCAGTTAACGTTTGGGATATTAAGGACACAAACACAATGGAAGATTCGCTTCTAACTCAGTTACATCACTGAGTCGATTCAGAGCCCCCAAATACTTTGAAAAACTGATTTACAGGGCGACTTTTCCACAGTGGTTCTGTCGAACTAAATCAGCGAAATCTTGAATATAAAATACCACCTTTCTTAAAATTACTTTTAGTGTGGATGTTAAATATTTCCCCAAGGCTTTAGGTTGTTGTTATCAAATAAAGTCGGACCCTTTCGCATTGTACATCACTTCTGTTAGACTATACAGAGCCAGCGTTTACTAACATCTCTAAAAATATAGTGCTTACGTGTATACACGGTAATTTCTAAACGCATTTTTCTGAGAATGTGAATTAAGGTTAGTTTCTGTTTCTTGTCTCTTAGTTCATTTTAAATTAACCTTTTAACGTGACTTGATCGTAGTACAATTATACCGCTGTCTTGGCAGTCTGAAGAATCCCACTTTCCTGTGAGTATCTGTACTTAACATTCTCATTCTGAGAGCTTGAAACACTGAAAATGGTTGACAGCTGCCTTAAAGAAAATAACGCAATGCTATAGCGCAAACAGTCCAAGCAGTCCCGACCCACCAGGCATATCTCCAGGACGCTTTCTGGTGCATATTTCACCACAAGTTAGAAAACCTTGTTGTGACAGGTGCTGTGCGGCGTAGTGGAGACAGTGATCAGCCTATGTACGCTCACATCATCGTGTAGCAGGTCATCAGTGCTATGTCCTTCAGGTCTTCCGATGTGCAGTCTGTAGAGACAGAGAAACCGTGAGATTAAAGTTCCTCGAACTAACATTTAAACCACAGATCTATTGTTCTGGAACAAATATAGAAATTGGGAAGCAGGAGTACGCCTACGCGGGCTTGTCCGGTTGTGCTTTATCTTAGTATTTATTATTTAATCCCTACGCTTCTATTTAAGTCATAAATGTATCACAGAGGAGCTAAAACTCTTATATCCGTATGCATACTTACACAGCCCGTTCAAGCAGGGACGGCGCAATGTTTTACCATTAGAAAATTGTTAAAATATCACGAATGCCATCTACACTGACGTCACAGGTCCAAAGTTTCTGTGCTATAGTAGGACCTAGTGTACATTAACTTTCTCGCATGACCCGCCCTTATTTCAAATGAATGAACATTTTCTTAGCTGAAAAACCTTGTGAAAAAGGATACCTCGTTTAGAAAGCCTACACAGGATTCTATGTGTTGAACATTATAGCCTAACTCGAGGAACACATAATTTAGAATGAAGTTATAAATGGCATCGAAATGATCGGTTTGCGTTTGTACAGCAAGGGCTGTGATGTAAGCTAGTCCAAGCGAGAGTGGGCATATTCTCGCAGTTAGCCAGGAGGAGTTGTATCTGTGTGTTGTTACACTGCGTGGAAGCAGTTCGTGCATTTCGCGGCTACTTACGGATTCCACGCTGTGTGCCGCTGCTAGTGCCCGCGCACTTCTTCCAAAAGCGCTTGATGGACCTCCAGAGTTTGCCTTTTCTGGACAGGGGGGCGTCGCTTTCTTCTCCGGCTGTGCCACAGGGGTCTCTTTCTGGAGGAGCATCACTCGCTCCCTCTTCTTCGGCGTCTTCCCCATCGCTTTGACCGTCGTATCCGTGCAGCACCCCGGCCACCTCCATCCGCTCCAAAACCGCCTCGTCCACCCGGAGTTCTCGCCGGACGCCGGAGGGGCTGGAGACCGACGTGGAACGCCGGCAAAGCGGGCAGACAATGATCGCCGTGTCGCACCGGGGGTCCTCTCGCCGGGTCTCGTCCTCTACTGAGAGGTGTTTGGGACTGAGGGCTAAGGTGAACAGGCACCTCTCGCAAAAAGTGTGGCGACAGCTCAGCTCCCTGGGACAGCGGCGACCGGTGCTATACGCTCGGTAGCAGATCCCGCATTCAAGTTCAGTGCACATCGTTCCGGCACCCTCTACAAGTCAGTAGTATCAGCAGCTCCAACCGTGTCTCTCTTTGGAACTGAAGGTCTTTCGCGGTTTTTTAAAGTGTGGTAGGAGGAGGGCAGAGCGAGCGAGGGAGGGCTTTGAAAAAGGTAGTTCCAACAACGAGTACTTACACCAGCCCACGCGTTCGCTTCCGCCCATAGCAAAATTACCTCACCGCTCGGCAGACAACAGACAACCTGACTGAAGAGCGTCTTGCCGAACAAAAAGTAGCCAAGTTCTGTTGGCTTGCCTCAAGTCGCCGGTTTTAAGATGGAACCTCATTTCCTTTTTCTAATCCCGAGAAACGCTGTGCTTAAAAAGAGCACAGACAAAACAACGTACTTGTTAAAGTTCAGTTCATTCTCTGAAAGGGTTTCCCTGTCTGTCTGCGTAATGTGTCAACTTTTGGTTAGGTCAAAAACGGACACAGAAACTTAACTGTCACAACTTACAACGCAAGGCAACAGCATTTTATATGAGCTGATGTGTAACATGGAGCTGGGTTATTAGCATTTTAAGAATGGTTTCTATGAAATTAAACACCTGGTCTAGATGTTGAAAGATAATGATTTTACTTCCGCTCTTTTTTCAAGTGGGCTCGAAATTCATCGCTCTATAGTCAATACCATCGCTAACGTCTGCTACGTGCAGTAGAAGACTTTAGCTCCAAGGTCGTTAGCGATGGTATTGACTATAGAGCGATGAATTTCGAGCCCACTTGAAAAAAGAGCGGAAGTAAGTCATTAGAATGATGTAAAAGAATGGCACAGTGGGAGCCTGGTGAAAAGTATTCAGTCATGTTGTTAATGCTGATGCCCCAGAAACTCTTGAGTGGTTATGAGGTGATTCTCTAGCTAATCTTTGGAGAAAAGACCGCAGTTAATGAGCTCTTTTATCACATCAGACTTCCTGGAGGTGTCTTGCCCCTATTCCTACTGAGGTGTTAATGTCAGTCTTGGCCTCTGGTTTAGTTGTCTGTGTGAATACTTGTGCTGTGTAAAGACCAGTAGAACCGCATCAGGGTCATTTCCTAAACACTTGGGCCTGCAGCAATAAATTAGCAGTAGTTAGCTATAGGACCCCAACCACCTGCCCTCTGGAAATACCAAAGATCTTAAGGTAAATGCAGAGTTGTCGTTTGTACTAATATGTTAACAGTCAAAAGGTACTCGAAACCACCCTCTTTGTATTAAAAATTTAATTTGGGCCAATTTATTTTTATGTTTGATATTTCCTTTATAAAAACATTATGGTCCAGAAATGCATATGTGTTACAGTTTTACATATGACTAACTATCTGACCTCAGATTTGTAACCTTTTTTCATGATCTCATATTCGTCTATGCATTGGGTACAAAATAAATTCTTACATTTCGGAAATGAACTTGAATATAGTATAAGGGTTTTACACGGAAAATACAGTGTAGAGGTCCTTAAACTGCAAGCATGTCTTTCAAAGCTGGATAGCACATTCTCTCGAAGCCTGTGTAGAATATGAATATGAAGTCTAATGGTGATAGAACAGAATGTACACTGTGAATCAACAGTACCCTTTCCAAAGGCTTTCTGTTGACAGATTAGCTAAAACCAAACGCTCCCCATTGCTTAGTTTTCTTAACAGTGCCTTGCTGAGAACATCACGGTAGCACAATCACGTCGCCACCCTGCAGTGCTGGAGCTCGGGGTTCAATTCCAGAATTGGGGTGCTGCCTGTGTGGAGTTTGTATGCCCTCTTTTTGTTCAGGTACAGTAGGTTTCCTCCCACAGCCCAAAGACATACTGGTAGGCTTCTGGGAAAACTGGTCCTGGTGTGAGGGCGTGCTTGTCTGTTCTGTTCTGTATGTGTGACCCTGAATTGGAAGAAGTGGACATAAAATGGATGGGTGTAAGTGTAAAGAGGAGTCCCTTGAAGTTCTTTAGCAAATGTTAACATGACGTTTATTTAAAAATGTTAACATGACGTTTATTACGTTGCTCTGAAGAGTTTAAAGCAGGAGCACCGCTGTGCAGCCTGGGATTTCTCCCCATCGAGGCGCCCCACGGTGCCGTGAAGAGACGAATAATTTTCCCGATTCTCCGCCCGACCTCTTACTGGTGATGGAGGCAGTAAGAGAGCTTCAACCTCTGACCCCCGACCCCATCCGGAAAGGCGAAGCAATAATTTGTAAAACCGTCGTCAGGACTGACCCGATTCGAGACCCTGCAGAGGAAGAAACAGTGTCCTAGCTCAGTCTGTTTTGCTGGGCGGGGGATGAACACTTTCAGCAAAACACTGTAACGCAACGGGGGCTCAGGCGGGCGCCCTTGCCGCATTAGGTCGGCCCCCCACCGTCCTCAGCAGGGACCCAGCCCGATGAGCCAAAGAGAGATCGCGTTACGGCCCACTAGCTGTAGTCCTGCTATCACAGGGAAGGGCGGCGACGTCACCTGCTCTGGTACGCCGGCTCTTACACAGTACCTGTCGGCCGTAAGCGTTACAATACGTTTAACGTTAAATGTGCGCAGAGAACTTCTACTGGGCCAGTAGGACCATGTCGAATGAACTCGGTAAGCACCACAAATTTTGTAAGAAACTAAGAGCATGTGACACATCGCAAAATAGAGCAGGCCTATTAAACCCATCGTGCGCGATATCACTGCTTGCAAAAATCAATAGTTTTACAAAAGAGACTCCAGACAGATTTTATTTTGCTAACAGGCTTCTTTTTCTGCGGTGAACCAACTTTCAAATACCCTATAAACTACATCATTCACGGGACAAACGCCCAAATCAATGTACTGACAGTAAGCAGAAATCTCGCGCACGTGGAATTCCCCAACAACAAAAAAACCGATCTTTAGGCGCCGAAAAGAAAATCCCCTATAAATCCAGGAAACAATCGAGTTTGATTGATGAACTATTTCTCATTATTAAAAAATAAATAAATCGCCTTTCTCCTCATCACAAATTCGTCAGCACTCGGTTTGCAGCTACAGGAAAATAACTTTCAAAGTCAGTTAGATACAGAGAAACACTTAAATGATGTACATGCCCCCACAGCGGGCATTCCAAAATTGAGAAATGTTATAATTTAATATTAATTTGTGTACTCTGCAAATGTAATAATCTTCCGCACTTGGCTGGCTAGGTTTTACTTCTGTTTAATCTGATTCGTTCCTCTCTGGTTGTCTCGTTTCTTCGTGTCACGCGTGGCTCTCCCGAGTTAGGATCAGAGCAAACCAAACACTCAAACCAAATGAGATAGTTCACGGGCGCCGTCCACTAGGAGAGCGATAGAGAGGCACTCCGTTACTGAGACGGGAACAGGCGTGAAGCCATTCACCTCTGGTCCACTTTAACTGCGGTAGAGGAATAAAAACCAATGAACGTTAAACAGGATTAGCGTGGACTCCTGCAACTTCCGCTCCAACCGATTTGTACCGCTTTCAGTGAAACCTCAAGAAAGGTCAAGTAACGCTCAACCGTGATGTAATGCGTTCAGCAAAGAATGGTGCTGTCATCATCTCGTCTGCGCGCACTGTAGGCTAAAATACTGTACCTCTGCTTCCAGCACACCTGATCGCAGGAATCCCAAAGATATAAAAGCGAGACTTTCAAGCGTTGTGAGCAAGCGCATTATTTTCTAAGCCCCAGTAAACGCTTAGGCATTTTTCTATTCTGTCTAATTAAATTAGAAATATCCTACCTATTAAACCGAGCGCTTGTTTCCAGCTGTACAGTCTTTTGAAAAAGAAAAAAAAACGTTTTTTTGCATCTTTCTTTGAACTTATCCCTGTGAAGAGTATCTGTAAACAATAGATACTGTACATTTCAGTCTTTTTCATAATGTGTAACAGATGTCCTACGGTAAAAGTGATGTAAAAGGAAGCAAATGAAAATCTGAAAACGTTTCTCAAGTGATTTATTGATGTAAAACGTATGATCTAAATCAGTAAAAAAACAACAACACAATCTGTTCTAGGTCTTTCCGGTGCTAAAATAAAACTCCCTTTAGCACCCTAGGTCTCAACAGGATTTGTATTTGATCTAGTTAATCAGGAAAAACAATCACATTTCCGAGTCTTGGCTGAGCTAGTCCAACAGGAAAGGATTGGTTAATACAGGAAAAAAATACGACTGACTACAGAGGATTACTTAACTTTTGGGAAATGAATATGCTGTTTTACTGGGAAATTACAATAGCTGACCAATAAATATTTACCATATCAGTTAGAGGTCCTGGGTTCTGTAATGGAGGGTTGCAGGTTCAAATCCCAGGGGCACAGTTGTTGTATTTTAAACAAGGTAACTCAATCTGATAAAATTCCATCCACTATATATATATATAAATTGGCCTCCAGAAACGAGTGTTTGTTCTTAATTGACTTGTCTGCTCAACTGAGGCATAAAAAATGTTTAGATGTGCTGTAGGTTGTCCCACAGTAGTGTGCACTCTGATATTAGAGAAAGGTAGAATAATACATCAAAATTGTGTTTTTTATGAACCACAAAATAACCGGACTTGTATTTATCAACACATTAAATAAAAAAGCATTTGAAAATGATTTTTAGAAACAACATGGTGTTTTAAGAGAGAGAGCATTTAGCAGTAAAATCAGCGGTCAACGACACAACGAAGGGCACAAACCTGTGTGTACAAAACATGATTTAATCACTATTTTTTTGTCTAATTTTGACAGGTCTTTTTAGTGTGTTTTACAATGAGAACGTAATATATATATAAAACATAAAATCTAAACAGGCTACATGAACACATGACCTCCTGACATTAGCAACCATTCTTATTTTGTTAGGTGAAACCTCAGAGTTTACATATTTACAGTAATATTTAGGGAATTCAAGAAATTCAGATTTCTTATTATTACACAGTGTTCCACTGAAACATAAACATGGCACATCCTATAACAGTGACCCCACTGACCAATTTGACCTAATCCAGTATTAAACTGACATGCAACAAAGTCATTGGTTTTTACAGCAAAGTCATGTCAGAAAGAGCCCAAGTCCTTCCTTTCCTACAGAACTTCAAACAATCAGATGAAGAGTTTTAAATATGTGGTGAATGCAAAGACTTCTGGGAAGGATGTTTCTCATGACAAGAGGACAGAAATCATAGCTTAAGCAAATGAAGACCACTCCATCCATCCATTTTCTTAGCACGTCTTCCAATTGAAGGTCGTAGGGGAGCCAGAGTCTATCCCAGCAAGCGACGGGCGCAAGGCAGTGTTCACCCTGGATGCGATGCCAGTCCATCGCAGGGAAGACAGACACACAGACAGGAAGGCATGCATTCACGCCGAAGACCAATTTCCCTAGAAGCCACTTAACCTACTAGTATGTGGGATGAAACCTATGTGAACACATGGAAAACATATCAACTCCACACAGACAGCACCCCAGGTTCAGAATTGAACCCAGAGCCCCACTGCTATGAAGTTTGCAATGCGAATCACTATACCACCCAACACCCTTTCAGCTGACATTATTAACATTAGTCAACATTAGTATTCACCTTCTTTGCTATGACAAACCTATATTAGCCCAGGCGCACAAACGTACTTTGACAAGTAACACAACTGATCATTAAGAGAGGAAAGTATATCGGCTGATTGGGATGTCTCTCCAAACTAAGCAGCTGGGTGAGTAGGAAACTGTTGAGGAATACTCTGTGAGTCCAAGGGACGCTTTGAAAGAGCTGTGGAGTTCAGTGTCAGAGATGGGAGAAAATATCCCTGTGGGTCAAAGCTGGTCTGTACGACAGAGTGACAAGAAGGAGACCGTTTCTCTGAAAAACAACATTTCAAACCTCGCTTGGGTTTTGCAATAAAACATTGAATTGCTCTTTCTGCTACAGATGTGTGGCAGAAGGTTGTGTGGTCAGAAGAGACAGAACTGGAACTTTTTGCATGGCACAGCATGCACAGCATTTAGCATTATACACCAGTGTTTCCCTCTGTTCCCAAAACTCTTTCCAAATATAACGTGTGTACGTGTGTATTTGCATTGTGGAAATTCCCCGTTTCTTCCTTGTTTTCAGCTTGTAAAAAACTCCTAAGCCTTTGAGTGGGAAAACACTGATACTGCTTTACAGAACAAAGCTCGCCAGGCAGTCTGCCAAAGTAACTGGATCTGCAGAGAGTGCAGTAACTGCTGACTCACCACAGACCTGGTGAGAGGTGACGTATGGGCTATTGCATTACTTTTTGCAATGTGCACATAAACACACAGTATATTATGCATATTGTAGGCCTAAACGTCAATTTTACACCAGTCTGAGTTCTTGCAGCAGCTGCAGTAAACAGTGTAATGTTGGAAACCTCTTTTTGGGTTGTGTTGTGTTGTTAGAGAGCTACGTTTAAAACATTTGAAGGGGGACGTAAAACCTTATTGAAGGGTGTAAATGTACATATTGCATATATCCAGCACTTCGATATTACTACTTAACCAAACTGTGGAAGCTATTAGAGTAATTGCAGGGATCTGTTAATTCAGCCCTCAACGAAAGTTACGTTCAGGCAGAATAAAGTGGACTTGCTTCAGCAGCTTAATCTACAGTATATATCAAAGGACAGGACCAACTCCTGTCAACAAGCCATGAAGCAGGACAACCCCTGCAACAGGCAACACGACAAGCGAAATGACCGCTGTTATGTTTCAAAGGAGAGGACTAGAAGTAGTAACATATCAAAGAACAGGACAAGCACCCCGACTGTGAAACAAACGTCTGTGTTCTGTGGGGCAGACACGACGTGTGTTGCTGTACATATTGAGCTCCATAGAAACTGGATCTGCACAAAACTGTGTCCTGCTCCTCCAATGAAGAATTTTCCACAACAACAATAATATTACTGCAGCTTCTGATGCGGAAGTATAGTTAAATGCTGTTTTCCAGTTTATTTATTGTTTTAAACATATTGTGTTATATGTTTATGGGATTTTTTGATGTGCAAGACAAATTCCCTTAGGAACAATCAAGGTTAATTCAATGCAATGCGATGTGATTCATTCAATTCAAAAGATTGCTAGCTATGTGAATTGGAGCCTTTAAATTGTTCCTGAGCGAATGCATCCTACAATACCAGGACAGGCTGTGAGTTACCAAGCTTGCAACCCTTGTATTGTTATATTCATTACATACAGATCTGCACTCATATCATAGCATAACTGGCCATAAGATTTAAATTTGTAGCTGCAGTTTATATTGTCTTCTTTTGTAATATTTACTGTGATGCTCAGGCAATAACTTCAGTACCTTCAGTAAGCTGTGTCAGATACCCCTAAAGACTGATTACAAGCTATATAATTACTGACGGCTTGAGTAAAAGCTAAGCAGCACATTCATGGTGAAGTCAGTCCTCTGTCTGGCAGATCAGCAAGATGCAGTGTGCCGTATCATCAGGTCTGCAGGATAGCTCTTGTTTGAGGAGATTCCTGTTTCCACTTGCTGTCAGCCCACAGCTAATATTCTGGTAAAAAGAGACTCGTGTATCGACAGATTTCAATCCCTGGAGCTATGGAATGCTTTCCCAAATTTTACTATAGCATC